CCTACAAATAAAACCATTCAAAAGTGTAACTTATGTTTTTGAAATAAGATTTATGTCTTGAATTGTGTAACCTATGTAATGATTAGGTTTATGAATTCATTTAGTGAATTTTTACCATTATACAATGAATCTAAACTTTTCAATTTGTAGCTAAAATATGAGTTGTTAATTCGTCTTAATGTTGGTATTTTAATACTCCTAATTTCTTAGCCTATAAATAGAGGCGTCTATCAGCCAAATCTGATATATACTTTGCCATCTTTAGACTATTTTCTACTTTTTCTTCCTCTCACTACTATTAAAGTTTATAAGGGCAAAGATCAATGTTGTGTAATGTTTCTGTTTTACTCCAATAGTGTAGATTGGAGTAGACTACAGTGAAGAAAATGTTCTGCTATTGTATTTTGGAGGCAACGTGATGAGACCTATTACATTGGAAGATACTCTATAGGGGCGCAAATCGTCTTAAAGAGAGCAACCTAGTCCGCCTCTCAATCCATGCCAAATTAACTTTTATGGTTCAAATTATTTGCATTTTTTAATGCAAATTAACTTGATTCCATAGTTGGCCCATGGTGAAGTTCGGTTAGATAGACTAGGGTTGCCTTCAGTCAGGAAGTTAAGGATGGTATAGGCTTTGTGTTGGGCTAAGATCCGAGCACTAGTGTAATTTTCGGTTCTCATTAATAATACTACTACATTTATTTTTTTTTTAAAAAGAGGTATGAGATTTTTGTTAATTTTTTGTTAAATTTAATTGGAGAAATATTTCTTACTAATGTGATTATTTTAGCCCAGAACCAACATATGGGTCACATAGAAGGACTAAAAATGTACGAAGGTTTTAAGTGCCCAAAATTTTTAAGATAGACATTCTAATTTGTCAATTTCTATTTTTTTTTCTTCCAAAATCTTTTAGAACAAATGATGTTACGTAGTGAGGATAATACTTTCACTTTGTATGCTGCGATGGTGAATTTTTGTCATATGTCACTTATGGGTAGGGGTGGCAATCGGGTCCAAATCGGATTGGCGTGTCGGATTGAAACTCGGGTATAACAGAAAACCCGTTGACCCAAACCTGCCCCGCCAACTCGAAACAGGTCAGGATACCTGACCCGAACCGAAAATTTCGGGTTGGCGGGTCAACCCGAAATGACTCGAAACTTAATTTTAATTGATTAATTTACCATTGTAATTTCTAATAAAATCAATTTCGCACAAAACTAATAACATAATCAAGTAATAAAATTTTAAATAAATAATCCCAAACCAAATCTAAAATAAATTAAAACATCGTAAAAGTGTTTTATCCCAAACCAAATATAAAATAAATTAAAATAGTATACAAGTAAAAAATAATATAATACATTATTTGTCCAAATATAATAATTTCAACTTCACACGAGATAAATAAATTCATTTAGAATTAAGTGATTAATACCTTTGGAAAAAAATAACTTAGTTTAGTTAGATAAAATAATTTTTATATTTATTAAATTATTTTTAATTCGTAAATGGGTTATCGGTCATATCGGATCACCCACAGATCGACCCGAATTCGACCCATTTTCTTTTCGGGTTCGACCCGATTCTGACTTGAACCCGCAAAATCTCAACCCAAACCCATTAATTTCGTGTTAGATTCGTATCATATTTTCAGGTCGTGTAGGAAATTGCCACCCCTAAGCCCTACTTATGGGGGAGGTAAGTGATATTTTTAGAACTATAAGGGTGCTAAATGATATTACAAGAAACTTCAAGGGAGAATTTTTTTTTTTTTTTTAAATATTCCAGTTTTTGAACAACTTTAGCAATTAAAAATGTTTTGAAACTTGGACTGGTGATGAACAAAATGAGTGATTGGTTTTGAATTTATAGTTCAAACATCTGGATCACCAATTCAATCATTTTAATGTATTTTGAGCTTGCAAAAGTTTTGATGTATGGGAAATCATTACAAAAATCAAAACCTCTTGGAGTTTAGGACTCCTAAAGATAAAATGGTCCAAAAAGAGTAAAAAGTTCATTCTGACTCCTTGAAGAAAAAAAATTCATATAACTTAAACAAAAATTTGTCTAATCCAATGTAAACCAGCCACAACTTCCAAAAGAGCTTCGAGGTTTAAAACGTGTAATTAAAGTAAAATATTTAAATAGTAAAAAAGAGAAACAATGATGAAGGATTCGTGGCAAATGGTGTACAAGACGAGGATTGGCTCTACTGCTTGTTATTGTGGTAATCTCATCTTCTCCAACTTGCTCTCTTTTGTGAACGTATCTCATCTTTTATGCCAGGGAGAGGGACAATGCCAAAATAGGATGCTTGGCACTAACAATAGCAGATTGTGCCCTCATGCCCTTCAGCTAAGAGCAGTATTAACAATGTGAATATAAAGTTTTTGATTCAATGCCCTCATGCCCTCTATAAGATTTAGAATTTGCTTTGAAAAATAAGATGTAAAGTTTTGTAACTGAAGGTGCATTTCATAAAACTGAAGTCTGAAAATCGAAAACTGAAATCTGAAATTTGAAATCTAAATTCATTAAGCTATTGAAATGTTAAATATTAAATCTAATACATTTGAGTGTATATCACATTCAGTGATAAGTGAATAATTTATTACTTATTTTTTGGAGCAAATTTTGCCTAGAAAATTTAGTGTCACTTAATTAATTCAAATGTTCAATTTTTTATTATCAAATGCACTTGAATATATTAAAATCTGAATCCATTAAATTTAAGTGTTGAATTAGCTTATCAAACAAGGCCTAAGATTTTGAGAAGCAAAATGAAAATAGAAAGAACTTTAAAGGTGCAAAGTGGAATAAATCCTAAGGGTCCGTTTGGTTGATGGGATGACACAGGATTGGATTAATCATCATGTGTCATTCTATGTTTAATTGCATTTTATACAGGGGATGACACACCTAACCGAATTAATCCCCTATTCATGGGATAAAATAATCCCATGGGAGAGATGGGATTAGTCATCCCGGGATCACTAACAGGTAGGATAATAAAATTTTAAACTAATTTATCCTTACAAAAAATACAAATTTATACTCTTATAATTATATATATAATCCTACTCTCACATGATAATATACTATGAATGGACTAATTTGCCCCTACTATTTAATTTTAATGTTTTTGATTAATTTGCCCCTACTACCAATATAACAATATTTGGACTAATTTATCCTTATGAATGATTCAAATTCAAATTAGCTATTATATAACCATACTCTCACATAATAATATCATAATAAACAGACCAATTAGCCCCTACTAATTCTATTAAAATTTTTTACTAATTTGCCCCAATTCATTATTTTAAAATTTTTGACTTTGTGAATGAGGATTTCAATAAGTTCAAACTCGATCCAAAGAAAAATCTTCTATATTAGCCTGAGTTCGGCTCATTGAAAGCTCTTAAATGAATTCGGTTTTAATTGATTTAACCTTAATTTAGTCAAAACTTGGCCCATTATTTAATTGAATTTCAAATTTAGGTTCAAAAGCTTGGACAAAATCTATTTTTAAGGGCCCGAATGGGCTAAGTTTGAATGAATACCAATTTTTATATATCAAAACCCTTGATTTACTTTATAATTATAAAGTTTTAAACTACTCTATTTTAATAAAATTTATAAATATTAAATTATTTATTAGATTATTTTATTAATATTTTATAAAATATTAAATTATTTTATTAAAAAAAATCTACAAATTAAGGGATGCTTTGGTTATTAAAATAGTAATCCTTCCTCATCCAATCTCCAACCAAACATAAGATAGGATTATTTCCAACATATCCTATCTAACCAAGAACCAACCAAATACTAGACAACTTGGATTGTTTATCCAGGGATGACTCAATCCAAGATTAATAATCTGAGGATGAGCCATCCCATCTCATCTAGTTCATAAACCAAATGGAGCCTAAAAGGTTAACGTAGAGTGATCTGATCATTAGAAGTGTTACTCTTCACGTCTAGTCAATCATACAAGCTATAGAGAGGAACACTATTCTATAGAGACAAGAGAAGACTCTTTTTATTAAAAAAATAAAAAAATTGTTATCCTCTCATCCCTTCTCACACTCTTTTTTTATCCCATACTGTCAGGTATATCATGTACGTCTTTTAATTCCAATTGCCATATAAATGATTTGAATCTTGAGTTTGATAATGGAAAAGATTCTAAGAACCCTTTCTTTTTTTTATCCATACTGTCAGGTATATCATGTACGTCTTTTTAATTCCAATTGCCATATAAATGATTTGAATCTTGAGTTTGATAATGGAAAAGATTCTAAGAACCCTTTCTTAACCACTGTAACGAGATTTGATAAAGTAATTAAATGAACTAATTTAAAGTTTTGTGATGCTTCAGTCGTAGTCCATCCATGAAGACTCCGTGAGTTTGTAAACTGCGTCTATACATGCGTATGTAAATTAATAAGTTTATATATATATATATATATATATATATATATATGTTCTATTTTGTCAATTTGTAGGTTTCTTTTATGGAACCATAGAAAGGGGGAAAAAAAATAAGGAAAAAATAAATCACAGAAACAAAAATATAGAGAATACAAAAAAAAAACTAAAACATAAAAAAAAACCAGAAGAAATAATAAACCCAGTAAGCCAAAGGCCAAATTCAGAAAAGCAAAAACAAAACAAAGGCCCAAACAAAGAAAGAAAGTCGAAAAATAAAGCAGAGGAAGCGATATTTGGAATTTTGGATTACAATCATTTGGATAGAAGAAAGTTAAAGTCAGCTTTCACCTGGCATTCTGTACATCTTAGGCTCACAACAGAAATTTTTTTTTTTTTTTTCATGTAATGGCTTCCTCGTCAACGTTAATATTGGTCTTAAATGATTGGCAGCTAATGGTTTTGTCTATTTTCTAAATATCCTTGTATTAAATATGTTACATGTTATAGAATATCACAATTAGATGTCAAGTTAAATGAAGAAGAATATATATTGTTCAGCAAAAATATCATCCAGCTTCTTTAACTTGAGAATATTTTACAAACAGATTGTGATGGATCATAAACACTATTAAACATCAAACCAGAAAAGAACATGGAGAACATTTTACAAATAGATTATGATGGATAATGTTGGCTTGATAGAATGCATGACTGTGCTTGCCCCTGCAATGACAAAGTAATACAGCTGCATCAAAGTTCAAACCAAATAATTTGGTACAGATGAAGAAGGGACATGATCAGTAATTATATGTCATTGAACTGAATTAACATACACATACAATTATATCTAACCTGATGAGTGGAATGACCACACCAAATCAAGGAGAGACATAAATGTTTCAGTCTTCACCTTCTGAGGAAACCTGCTCTGGAAGAAGGAAAAATTGCAGTACTACATCAGTTGAATGAAGAGGTATACAGATTACCCAACAAAATAGGTCATCTGGTTTCTTTGATTTGTCATTTTGATCAGTTTGAGCAATTAACCACCTAAAATAGCAAAATAAAACATGAAACCACACACAAAAAAAGTTTAAGAAAAAATTGCTTCCTTTTTTATTTCCGAAAATATTGCCTATTAAAGAATGAAAATGTTTGTATTTCAGCATGTTGTAGTGAAGAAAAACACATATTAAGTCCTATGCCCTTCCTCTGTTGAAAAGTAACACAACCATAGTTTGTTTTTTTTTTTTTTTTTTTTTTGGTTTTTGTCTCCACTTAATATTTGTTGCAAAACTGTGATTGTAGGTTTCAACATATCAGTCAATTGAATTATGGTTTTTATTGAGGAAAAATAGAAGTAAGTCACACTTTTCTGTATTACTCTTATTTACATGCACAAATTGGGAACAGATAAGTGTATCTGGTTTGAGCATCATATCAAGTTATGTAGCAACAAGGAAGAAGATTTCGGAAATTGGGACATAAAAATTACTCAACGCTGAACCAGAAAATGACAAGAAGCAGATTGTGCATCAATCAGAAATTTATCAGAAAGTTATGCAGCAGAAATTGCTTCAAAATACACATGAATTAACACATCATTGGACTGATTCAACATATAAACAAATGAAAAAGAGACATGAATGGTTTGCCGTCGTAAACTGTTAAGAGAAGCATGAATCATTATATAATTGAACTGATTCAACATATGCAAATATAGTTTTATCTGACCTGATGAGTGGAATCCCACTGTACATTCACTCTCACAATTGCCAACTGCGTGATGAGAGGATATAGACTCTCTTTCTGAAGAAACCTCCTCTGCTTCTGAGGGAATTGACTCTGCTTCTTTAGACTCTTCTTCTAAGGAATGGAATGAATTTCGATCTTTAGAACCTCATTTCCCATGTCCATCTGCTCTTGTTGAATTTGCTTTACAGAATCTACAACAGACTCAGGACAATTTTCCACCACAATCATTTCAAGAGTCTCACACTCCCCTAAACAGGAAGGGACCTTTTCCAGCTCCTTACATCGGTGCAAGACCAATTTCACAAGGCGGGAAAAATTATCAGAAAATGCAGTCCAGTTGCGAAATTTCAACCTTGACAATTTTAAGACTCGGAGGTTAGGGAACTCCCCCTCTTCATTACCCATTCTTCCCGACAAAGCTGTGATCAAGTAATTTAAGCACTTCAAGATTCGGCAACTTTCCAATTGTTGAAATTTCACTCCATGGCTGACAATTATATGAGAGAGCCAACTTTTTCAAATTCAACGGGAATTTGAATCCACATCCGTGAAAACCATACAAATAAAGTGATTCCAGTTGACTCAAACTGTCAAACTCAAGAATCTCGTTGCAATTTCTGGTAGCTTCTCTTGATCCGCCCGGGTGTTCCATACATTTTAACCTGCGAATGCTTGGTAACTTTCTCAGTATCTTTTGCAAGCTTTGAGGAGAGGGATCAACTGCAAGGTTTAAAGTGTCCAAACGATCTAAATCTGGGGATACTTCAAGATTTTCAACTGGAAAAATAAAACCCCTTGGCCATACTCCATGATAATTTATAGCAAGTAGATGACTCAATGTCTTAATGTTCCAAATAGTACTTGGCAGCTCACAACTAAAACCCTGAACTTCTACGATGAGAGTTTCTAACCTTGAGAGGTTGGCTATCGCAGATGGGATGTATGTTACTCCTCTGAGCGCCAGGTATCTCAAGTGAACAAGCAATACTACTTCCATTGGGAAAGAATAACAAAACTTCAAATTCCGGAAATCCAACACTCTGAGAAGTTTAGGTAACTGACCCTAAAAAGGGTAAATTGGTCAAATGAATTGACGATTTATTCAAAAATCGACCAGGTGACCCTAAAAAGGGTAAATTGGTCAAATGAATTGATGATTTATTCAAAAATCGACCGAATGACCCTAAAAAGGGTAAATTGGTCAAATGAATTGACGATTTATTCAAAAATCGACCAGGTGACCCTAAAAAGGGTAAATTGGTCAAATGAATTGACGATTTATTGAATGAATCAGCAAAATGGATTGATTGAATTGTCCGGCCATTGGTTATTTCAAAATTATTGAAGTGCATTAGTCTATGACCTTCTAAAAATCAAATTTTGGCCTCAATTTATTTATCGTCTCAAAAGGAGGAATCATTTGTGAATTTCTTCAAATTAATGTCCTTCACGCAAGGGATTTTTACCAATTTTTGATAAAATGGCCAAAAAGTGATTATTAGATGCTCATATTCCAAAGATCACTCTATGAAAATGATCGGATCCTACCTTACCTTGTGCACTACCCCTTTGGATGGTACAAAATGTAAACGTGCAAGTCTCACTGGATTAAGTATCCGAGACACAAGGTGGCTTATTCCTTAACACGGGATTCCCTATGTGGCATTCCCTTTCTATGGTTTATGTATGATGCCAGTTTATTAAAGCTATGTGAATATGTGACAAATATGACCTAAAGGACATAAATAATGCATCGAGGGGGAAAAGGTCTAAAATGAAATGTATTTATTAAGTATAATGACTGAAATTTAAACATGTGAGTTATCTAGTGGGTGAGTCACTAAAAGAGTGCCAAAGAGGCCTCTTATTGCTATGGCACATGAATGCAAGCCAAGAAAACAAAAGAAATGGTTAGTGCAGTTGATAGTACACATAACACATTGGGAGCAATTAAGAAAAGAAATACGATAAAAGCCAATAAAAGGGGTGGAACCCCCTTCCCTCGTGCCTAATTGTGCTTAAAAAGGTGAGGTTGACTCTAACCTAGGCAAACTCTAACATGGATGCATGAGGTTGGGGCTCATTAATGCAACTAGACTCGATAAGTCTCGGCTCCCAAGCCTTCAGACCTAAAGGCGAAGGGTCATCACTCCCAGGGCCTTTGATCGGTGGCTCGAGTGATCCCTTAGGTAGCGCTATGGGCGCAGAGCACACCAGCCGCCTACCCAAGGCAATCGATCCTAATCCTACAAGGCGGTGTGGGAAACGCCCACGAAAAATAAAATAAAATGGGATAAAAGCAAGTAAACGTGCACGTATGAAGTGTTTTCCTATTTTGAGGGAAGGGGTTGAGAACCACGCGAGGCTCTAAAGGTGACACCCCCCCTCCAAATGCAATGCAAGCGCGAGATAAACAAGTAAACTATACATTCAAACAACCAATCATACATACGTGAGTGAGGGAATAGTTTAATATGCGTGCGAGGCAAAAAGTCCTAAAAATGAAAAATGCAACCCTAAAATCCAAATGCAATGCATAACAAGGGTAGAAAAGGGAAAAGAATAGCCAAATCAAATGCTTGGACCCACTTAGAAAATTCCCAGTGGAGTCGCCAACTGTCGCGCCCCACTTTTTGATGATGTGTGGTAGTGTGAGTGAGTGTGTAGAATATGTGAACGTGTGTAAATGAAAATAAAAGGCCATGGGACTTAAGAATGCGACGATTTGGCCAAGTGAAGTTCAAAAAGGGTTTTTTAATGAAAATGGAGTCGCCACTTGGTATAGAGTTAGGGTGTACCAAGTCACCCAAAAATGATTTTTGTTTTTGAATGAAAAAAGTAAATAAACCCTTTTAGAGAACTTTTGGGTCTACGTAACCAAAAACAGGGATCGGGAGTCACATTTGACGAAGGGGAAGGCAAGGATAAAGATCCAAGGCACCCCTTCGACCTAGCCAAGGCTAGTTGCGTGATTTAAACCAATTTTTCCTAATTTTTCTACCCAAGGTATGTATCGCGTGTTGGATATGTCTATATGAATGCAAAACCCTAGACCTAGGGGTATTGGGGAAATTTCTCTTCAAAGGTTGAGTGGTGCCAATCACATTAATTGTGAAGCCCAATAATGATCCTTTGGAGAGGTCACATAATCCTAAATGATGTAAAAATGAGTGGAATGCATGCCATGTGAAAATGTGAGTTTGTGTGAAGTGAGAAAAATGATAAAATAAGATATAAGTGGAGGTGTGCAAAATGCATGAAATGTAGTGAACATGCAAGCATGCACTAACGAGGGATGGCCTATTGGGTCTAGCGTTGGACTAGCCCTTTCTATGAATTCCTACTAGCATTGGACTAGTGGAAACGGAACAAGGAACCACAACTAGCGTTGGACTAGTGCGGTAACGGGAAAAGGGGCCACAACTAGCATTGGACTAGTGTGGGGACGTACATTCATCCATCAAGTTCATTTATGACTATAAAAGGCGAGTAGACATGCGAATCACTTATAACCACGTATCACATAACACTTAGCATGCTCGACTAGAGGCAAGGGCCTAATAAAGCAAATTAACACATAGCAACAAAGGGGAAAGGGAGAATGGACCAAAATGCTCTCCAAGCCCTATCTATTACAAGCCAAGAGGTGTACACATACCCCATTAATGAATAATTTAAACAAAAGCAAAAGTAAATGAAATAAATGAAAGGAATTAAAGGATGGCAAGGAGAGCGAAGTAGACATGCAATTCACACTTAGCACGTTGGATCACATAGGAGAAATGAAAATCAAGGAGATAGAGGTTACCTCCCTTGCAATTGGGCCCCAATGAAGTGAAATTATTCAATTACCCTCCAAAATAATAAAAAGGTCAAGGCACCACTTTATTTAAGAAAAATTAAAAGAAATGTGCAAAACAAAGCTCACTTGGTCATAAAGTCCCTAAAGTCATAACTTAAGCGCAATTTAAACAAAGCATGGTAATTAATTAAAACAAAACAAACAATGAAATTGCAAAAACTAAAGCTGCCAAGTAATGATTGAAATGCAGAAAACCTTAGGACCTAAATGCAAGAGAACTAGAACCTGCTTGAGCTTTTGTAGAACATGGAGAAGCTTGAGGGATTAAATTGATTAAATATTCCAATTACTTGGGCCATAATGAGTCAAGAGGGGACTTGAGGGACTAAAGTGTAATTTTCTTTTGGTTTTCATGCATGCTTACGTTAGAAAAAACTGAAACTTTCTTTACTTCTGCAAAATCCTGCTGCAACCCCTTGCAGCTTCAAACCATGCGTATTTCATTCCAGAAAAATGCACAAAAGTTCATTTGTTTGCCAACCCAACTCATAGGAATCCCAAATCATCAACTTTAGGCCATAATCATCTATCATTAGTGACCCCAACAGAGTACCCAAGCAAGAGAACAAAGAAAGAAACAACAGAGATTCTCAATCTCTGCTCAACACGATCGAACCAGAACGTTCAACAAAACATATTAAAAACCGGACCACAAAGCAACCAAAATATTAGACATCTGTACAAGAAACTCAAGGCAACATCATACAACCCATGAAGATGCTTGCTGCAACTCAAACTTGCTGCCATTTCCCAGGTTTGGTTCTTTACCATGGCAGAAAATGCAATCCACGAAGGAAAGGAAAGAAAAAACAGATTTCAGCAAAAATTATTTCAGGAATTTTCTTTTCCTTTCGCCTCATTCTCATGCAATTCCTTATGCATCTTCAACAAATTCATGCAAGCAACAAAGAAAACCTGTTTCTGCAACATTCTCTGTTGTTCTCCATTAACCGAAACCCAACTCAAGCTTAAAGCTTACTTTCGAAAAACAGATTTTAAATCCCCATACACAACTTAACTTTAAACTAAGCAGCAAAACACATCATTACCACCATCCAAACTTTGCAGAAAACTTAGAGAAATCTCATATAAAGTTCTGAAAAAAACACTCAAACATTTGAAGAAACAAAAATGCTGCAACTTTCCAGGTATGGCCAACTACACTTCAACAAGACTTGATAAACACCAAAATGCATGATTCATATCACCTTAATGTCAAAGCTAATGACTTCTCTAAATGCAGCTTTAAACAGATATTATTCACGACATCATAGTCAGGCAGCGAACAAAATCAAGCAGGTCAAACCAGCCGCAACTTGACAAACAAAGAAAGGAAAATCAATTGCAATGAAACCGAAAGTTTGAAGCTTGCTGCAGCCAAATCTAAGTTTAACCTTGGAAATCTAACAACCGTGTGCCTTGCCTAACATGAAGGCTCTAGGGACAAAGGCCAGAGGCCATACTTATAAGAATATATCAACATCAGCCACAATAATGATACACGAACCATAAAGCAAGGACT